TTTTTTTTTTTTTTTTTTTTTTTTTAATGTGTGTTTCACTTGAAAAATATTTTTTGGTCATTTGGTCAGAAAATGTAAATATCATTTCAGTTTCTTCATTGAGGAGAAAATAAGCATTTAAATAGCCAAATAATCAAAGAGTATAAGTCACTGGATAAGCTTGTAAGAAGATAAATCAAGGGCTGGTATTTGCACGAACAATAGATCATCTAAATAAACTATTACAAACTACAAATTACAATGGCTTTGGGGATGGAAGGTTGGTAGGGCAGAAAACTGTGTCATCAGCACTACTGAGGAGAATGCCTGCATTCTGTGGAGAGGATACAGGTATGCATGCTTTTGGTTGTACTTGCATAAGAATTGTGATTCCAAATTTAAACAATATCTGTACTGTTCTCCAACCTTCTAATTCAGATGAATGGAGGGTTGTTGACATGTCTGTGTGTTGAGGGGCATCGCTTCTGTGTTGCTATTGTACCGAATAAACCCAGCGACTGATCCAGCATGATAGGGGCCATTAGTTCTCTACCATGAGAATTTAAATTGATCGCAGTATTTCTCCAGTACCTAAGACACCGATAAAGAATGGCCTTGTCCTTTGAGATCTAAGTGGAATGCAGTCATTGAAATGTGAACCACGGTTTTGCTCACTTCCTATAGAAAGTTGTGTGTAGCAAACACGTATCATGTATTTTTTTCTCTGAAATAATAAAGTAGCGCTGAAGAAGTTGAAGTTCGCTGGGCGTGGTGGTGCACGCCTGTAATCCAGGCACTTGGGAAGCTGAGGCAGGAGGAGCTCCACAAGTTCAAGGCCAGCCTGGGATACATAATTTAAAGCCAGCCTGAACTACATATTGAGACTCTGTCTTAAAAAAAAAAAAAAAAAAATTGAAGTTCACTTTGAAAGGTCATTCAGTTTGAATATTTCCCTAAAAATCTTCAAAAGTGATTTTTTTTAGAAAACAGCCACCTCAATAGTTTAGTAGAACATTGCAAAAGAAACCTGTATAAGGCTTTTGCAATTGGCAAATATCCTCAACATGTTTGGGCACTTACTTCTTATTTAAAGTAAGTACAACTTTCTTTTAAAACATGGCAAATGCCAGGATATAACTGATTTTAGCCAGAAGCAAATCAATAGTTTAAGAAAAAAATTATAGTGTTTTTATTTTCTGTTTATTACTCTATACTGCTCCATTGATGTTATTTGTACGATAGATTATTGTGAAAGACTTACTGAACTGTGGTAACACAGAATATGTGTATCATGAAGCTGTTATCAAGTCTCAACTATATTTTTGTGTATTTTTCCTCCATTTCCACTACAGCATTTATATTAGAAAGAAATCTTGGAAGTATGGTTCCTGGTTATGATGTTAATATTGTGGCCTTAAGATATGTCAGAGTCATATTACAGCCCAAGCCACAGCCTGTTTCCCTATATATAAAATAAGGAAGTTAATTCATATCCTTTCACACAGGGATGCTTTAAGAATGAAGGAAAACGTCTGAATCAATTTCAGGGGTAAAAAGTCTACATAAAACAAAGCGTTGATTTGTTTCCTGCCCATGCCCTAACTAAGCTATTATTTTAAATATTAAAATAAAAGCAACCAACAACTACTTGTTTACAAGAAAACTCCAAAGTTCTCTTAATAGTCTAGCACTATCTTGGCCTCAAAGTTGAAAGTCTGTGCAGTAAATAGGTGGAAAATGTAGGAAAAAAAAGTGAGCTGGGCATGGTGGCACACACCTGTAATCCCAGCACCCAGGAGGCTGAGGCAGGAGGATCACTGTGAGTTCAAGACCAGCCTGGGCTACATAGTGAGTTCTAGGTCAGTCTCAACTACATAGTGAGACCCCATCTCAAAAAACCAAAAAAAAAACCCCCCCCCCCAAAAAAAAACAAAAAGTCTGTTACTTAAGTTGCCTCTGTGGACCATGTGTAAGCTTCTGTACTAGTCATTTTTAATGATTCTGACATTCACTGACTGTGGGCTCTAGGAAGGTTACCTACCAATTTTGAATGTGTTTCTTTCATCTACAAAATAAGGGTAAAGAGTGCTGACCTTACAGGTTGGTCAAGGATGAAGTCTCCCAAGGCTGAGGTTAGCAAATCATGGGGAGGGGCCAACTCTAGTCTGTTCCCCGATTCAAGCTAAGAGTGATCTTCACATTCTTAAGTAATTGATTAACAACCCAGGAGACTGTTTTGTAACATGAAACGTGAAATATATATGAAAATAAAATTTCAGTATCCATAGTTTTCTTAGAACGTGGCCACATTCATTCATTTATGTATAATCTATGATGACTTTTATATTACAAGGATGAATAGTTGGGATACGGACAATGGTCTTATAAAGCCTAAATTACCATCACCTGGCCTTTCATGGGAAAACTATGCTAATCCTTGGATTAAGACAGAAAACTCAAGTTACTAGGATCCTGTTCGCTCCTCGTGAGTCTACAATTAAGTGGTGTCTTATTCCATTTTCTATTACTATCACAGAATCCCCAAGGCTAGGCAATTTATAATAAAAGGCATTTATTTAACTCCCCATTCTGGAGCTCCAGGAACATGGTATACAAAAATGGTGAGACATCTTGGCTTGTGGTGAGGGCTGACTTCAGCTCCCCACATGGCGGAAAGGCGGAAGTGAAAGCAGGTGTGTGTGGAGGAGGTGTCACATGGAGGGGGTGACCAAGTTGATGACTAACACTAGTTATATTTTTAATGTTTTTTGTTTTGTTTTGTTTTTTTCAGACAGGGTCTCACTATGTGGTTGACAGTGACCTGGAACTCACTATGTAGCCCAGCCTGGTCTCGAACTTGCAGTGATCCTCCTGCCTCAGCCTCCCAAGTGCTGGGATTACAGGTGTGCAACAGCATGCCCAGCTGCTAGTTATATTTTTATTTTTTATTTTTTTGGTTTTTTTGAGAAAAGGTCTTACTGTGTGGTTGACACTGACCTGAAACTCACTATGTAGCCCAGGCTGGTCTCGAACTTGCAGTGATCCTCCTGCTTCAGCGTCCTGAGTGCTGAGATTACAGGCGTGCAGCACCACGCCTGGCTGCTAGTTATATTTTTAAAAGTGAGTGGAGAGTGGGCTACTTCAGAAGGTTTTGACAATCTAAGCCGAATTTTCTGGAATAAAAACCACCTCTGGACTTATTTTTGTGCTGCAAAATTATTCTTTTAACAAAACTGAACAATCTGTGCGCCAGCACTGTTCCTGCGGTGTGGCATATGGCAAGGAGGACTGCCCACGCTCTGCGAGTCTGTATTCTAGACACAGAGGACTAACATGTGAGTGGCTGTTCTAGTGCGTCCAGGGCTGAGGGTCCCGTCCAGGGCTGACTGGGAAATTGGGAATAAACAACAGATGGGAGCACCAGTACCTCTCAAAGTGGCCCGAAAGACTAACCCACCCCACCCTCTTGTAGTTCCAGTGGACCCTTGTCTTACAAACTCAATTCACTCCTCAGGGCTGGTTGTGACAAGTTGGTCAGTGAAGGCTCAGGCTCCTCTACCCAGCCTTCAGATCTGCTCTCCTGTACGCAGGCGGATCTCAGTGTCCTTAGAGAGACTCTGGCCCAGGATTTCTCCCTTAACCCCACACAGGCAGGATGCTGTCATGTTCCTTCCAGAGCTCTGTTAGGGTTAAATCTGTCTGAGACCATGTGGAAGCACAAGCAGCTGGTATTCGGGTCATAACTCAAGACTTTAGTCCTAAGTTAAAACTAAAACTCTAGTCATAACCCAAGTTATTCATATGTCTGGCTGGTCGTCACTGCAGGGTCCGCTGTACACCCTTTTGTGATAAGTATTAGAGCACACTAACAGTGGAAATAACAGCGTGACTTCTAAGGTGAGGACATCAGGCAGAGTGTGGTTCTGCGCTCGGGGAAAACCATCACACCTCCAGCCATCTCAACAGTCAAGCAGCCCAACAGCCCTCTGGTGAGGTCCACCTGACAAGGACCAAATCGTCTTGCTGTCAGCTATGTAAATTGAGTCCTTCTGATCCAGACGAGGGCAAACCTTCCACCTGCAGTGATCACAGCCGTGGCCCCACGTCCCCTGAGACTTTATGAAATGGAA